TTCTGTGAAGGTGTACTTAAGCACTAGTTGGGTTCCCTTCAGAGTGTCCAGATACCTTGAATTATCAAAAAAATGATTTACTTTATTGACTTAAACAAATAAAATTATTTTCAATATTATAAAAAAAAATAAAAATGATTGTTGGAATAAAAACCAGTTATATCGCTATTAAGGGCTAAAATCACTTGAACATATAGAAAAACGTATTCTTTACAAAGCTGAATCAAAATGTTGGGTAAACAATTATGCTTATGTCGTGCCAATTTAAACAAGGGTGTTTAGCAAAATCAACCTATAAATTGAAGTCAATTGCAAAACCTACCTTTTTGTCATTACTATTTATCCATGAAATTTCTAAATCATCCTTATGTTTTTGAAATATTTACAGAATTGCTATTATTATTTGTTTTTTTAATTATTTCGAAAATTACAAAAAACCAATTACACCCTAAACTTTTTTTTCCAATGTACAACAATTCCATCTTCATCAATTTTCAACCACCATGAACCACCATTTTCAAGCTCTTTAAACCTCTCAGATCCAATTTTCAACCACTTTTTTCTCATTCTAAACCAATAAATCTTCACTTCCTCTCATTCCCTCTCTATTTTCTTCTAAAAAACTCTAATACTTTCATTTTCATAAGCATAACTTCATTATTTCGAGTATACTCTGTTGTTGGTCGTCTAAGCTGCTTCTTTTTCTTCATATTTGGAGCTTGGACGGTGGAAAATGGTGGAAATGAGCTTTACACCGGAAAAGGTACCTATTTACATGGTTTTGGTCATTTTTCAGATCTGTGTCGTGATAGTAGACTGTATCGTATGTCTACGCTTACGTGTAGGCTTACGAAGCAGTCTACTTGTCAATGCACATGTTAGTTTTGCAATTGACCAGAATAATTGTTTATGCAAATTAGACTTCTCTGGAAGTCTACGTCATTACCTTTGATAATAAAAACAAAAAATGAGGTAAACTTACAAAGAAGTCTACGTAAAAGTGGTTAGTTTTGCATTTGACCAAACTTTTGACTTTTCAATGTAGAATTCGTTGGTAATCTACAGACTGTAGACTTCCGAAGAAGTTTACAAAAAAGTTTGTTTTGTATTTGACCCAAATTTGACCTCGTTAAATAGGTTAGTTTTGTATTTGACTAAAATGTTAAAAAGTTAACCAAAAAGAAAAAAAAGTGTAGACTTTAATTACAATACACTAATTTAAAAAAAAACGATAGACACTACATGAAGTCTACTATTTTATTAATAAAAAGTCAAATTGGGTAGACTTCGTATGAAGTCAACATGTATGTAGACATTTGTTTCTGTTTACTAATAAAAAGTCAAATTTGGTCAATTGCAAAACTAACCTCTGTAAAAAAAATTCAAATATGTAGACTGTTTCTAAAGTCTACTTTAGTAAGTCAAATCTTGGGTGATATTTGGTCAATTGAAAAAACTAACCTTTTTGATATGTAGACTGAAATGAAAGTCTACATGTATAAAATCACAATTTTTTTTTCAAATAAAGAAAGTAACCCGTAAAATTTTCATTTGCAAAAACTAACCTAAATAGAAGACTGCATATGGAGTCTACATGCGTAAACTGTAACGAAAGTCTATATTTACGCAGACTGCTTATGGAGTCTATGTTTGAAAATACATTAAAAGTGAATTTGTGTATTATTCATTAAGTTTTTTCAAGTTTTTTTTTGTTTGACAGCCAGTGTGTGTTAGTTAATCCTAATATGTTTGAGTGATTTTTAAAAGAAAATATATTATATTTATGAAATTATGATACTTTTGATTTGATCATGTAGTTAGCTAATAATCGTAGACGTATTGGTAAGTCTACTTTATAGTTTTTGTAAACATGATCGCTAACTATGTAAATTTTCATTTTTTTCACAGAAAATGGCTCAGTTACCTGTTGTTGTGTATGAACTTATGTTTAATTTGTAGGCTTCTTTGGTATTGTTATGAAGTGTTAAACAAGTATGATTTTCGTAATGCAGACATTTTTAAATGTGTACAACAAAAGCATACTTCTTTATTAGTCTACAGGTAGGAAAGCAGACAAACACCAAAGTCTACTCTCTTTTATTGCTATTGGAGTTGTATTAATTTGTATTATTAGTCTCTTTTGTGTTCAAAATCTCTAAAATTTCTATAAAACAAGTCTTCATATTACATAATTTTAGCACATTCATTATTGTGTGTGCTAGTTGTTGTTTTAGCTTATGGTGATTTTTAATTGTTTGGCTGACTAGAGTATATTCTGAAAAACTGATTGCTAACAAAAATTAATAATATCATACAAGTGCAACACAATTAAAAAATTAATACAATGTTTATTGATTATGTATCAGAATATTTATTTACAAATGAATATTTTGGAAAGATAAATTATTACAAAGCAATTTCTTTTAAAACTCTAGAGTGTTTGATTATTCATAATCTTGATATCTCAAATGAAATCTTGGAAAATAGTACCTGCAAAATAAGATAAAGTTATGAGTAAACATAAGGTAAACATAAGGTAAACATATTTAAATTATTTTTAGTAGACTTCATAAAAGTCTACTTAAAGTTGATGGGTTCAATAGACTTTCTTTAAAATCTACTAGCCTTAATTTTTAAATAAACTTCATGCCAAAAAAAATTTCAGATCTAAAAATGTAGAATTACAAAATTAGAAAATAGTATTTTCTGTAAAGTAATTCAAAATAGTGTTTAACCTAAAATTAGCAAAGAAAAAACATAGAGCTTGTATCAATTTAGTTTTATATAAACAAAAAAATGAAATTTTAAATGAATATATGTAAATCTTACATTTTTGGAATGTGATTTGAAAACTTTGGAAGAGAATACCTGCACAATAAAATATAATTATGAAAAAAATTTAAGAAAAAAATTAAAATCATATTTGAGTAGACTTCTAATGAAGTCTGTTTAAAAGTTAAAGTTAATAAACTTCATTTGTAGTATACTCAATCCGAAAAATTTTAGATCTGAAAAATATATACAGTACAAACATGAAAATAACTCTAAATCTAAAAAGTTTAGAAAATAGAATTTGTAAAATAAATTATTAGTAAATTATAGACATGGAGTTTGAATATGTAAATTTATTTAAATATAAAAAGAAAAACACACATTATAGATGTAAATCTTACAATTTTTTTGTGGAAGAGAAAAACACTATGAAAGAAAATACCTGCAAAATAAAGATGAAACTATGAAAAACATAAGACAAAGAATTAAAGTCATAACCATGTAGACTTCATTAGAAGTCTATTATATATTAGATAATTTTCAGATCTGAAAATTTTATATATTTGAAAATGTGAATCTTTCATTTTTGGAAAAACTAGATAAAAACCATAGAAGAAAATATTAACAAAATAAAGATAAAATTTTGAGAAAAAACATTATACATAAAAAAAAAAGTCACTTCTAGTTTTGTAGACTTCATTACAAGTTTACTATATCGGATGATTTCCAGACCTGAAAACTATATACATGTGAAAATGTGAAATATAGTTTTTAATCTGAAAAAAAAAAACTTTAAAAATAGAATTTATAAGATAAAATATTAGGAAAGTAAATGCAAAGAGTTTGTATTTGTAACTTTATTTGAACTAGAGATTTTATCCGGGCTACGCCCGGAATTATACAATATAAATGTCTCTTGTATATATTTAACATATATTACATTTGTGTTATAAAACTATAAATAGTATTTTGTCAAAAATATAAATAGTAAACTGAATATAACTTTTGTAAATTGAATTAAATATGAGTAAAACTCACAATTTCTTGTTTTAATATTTAAAATATGTATAGGATAATGAGTAAATATGAAATGAATAAAGAATTTATTAAACCTTAATTATTAGCCAAAATATATTTTTATCTTACATATTTAGATTATAAAAATATATTATTAATCACAACTGATTTATATTTTTACTTTAAAATCACTAAGCTTGCATTTTTTAACTAATTTAGTTCAATATTACAGAACTGGAAATATTAATAGTGTTTAGAATCTATATAGAACAACCTTCAAAATTGACATCAATCTTTTTTCAATGCTAAAATGATTTAAAAAGTAGCAATTGTAAAATTGATTCTTACTTTATTTTCACATTTATTTTGGTACATTTTCAAATTTATTATTTTGATTACGTTTTTTAGGAGCTGCTTCATATTTTTTGTATCAGCATCTTAAATTTATAATGTATCACTCAACTTGTTGTAAAACATTTGAAAAAAAAATTGGAAATTTTTAGGCTAAAAAATCAGTAATAAAACTAATTAGAGAATTTATATTTATGGAATATAAAAGTGATATAGAATTAAAATAATAAATTTTAGTATTGAAATTTAAAAATGTCATTTAGTTTGAAACAAAACACAGAGAAAGTACTTTTTATTGTATAATATATGAATAATCCGAGTTCAGCTATTATTTGAGTGCTCAAGAAAATACACACACTTATCTCTTATAAATTGGTTATGTATATGTATATTTTATTTTTTAATGTTTGAGTTTAAATATCAAAACTCCATTGTTTTAATATATATATACAATAAAAATAGAGTAAAAATGTGTATATAAGTTTGATAAAATAATTAAAAAATACTTTTTAAAATATACCAAATAAGCAATTTCTATAATATCGCAGATAATAGCTATTACCTATATATTTTCTTACAAAGTAGTACTGCATGTATTTAATGAAAACTTATCATTCATATCTATGATATGTAGCAATTGGTGTGCAAGAAAATTAATGTTTCAATTGGTACAACTTAGAATGAATTCAAAGATTACACCATTTTCTAAATGTAAGTCCCTAAAAGAAGTTTTTTTGGAGAAATTAGATGTCTTTAGCTTCATAAATAATACTAAACCAACAAATGAGATTAGGTATATTGATATACTCCAAGCACTAACTTTTAATCTTGGGAAATTAGTGTACATGTTGTAACTGTCATAGCCACAAACACACAGTGTGCATCACTTTGTTCGTCCTGTTTTATTATAATTACTCTTTCTTTATACTACCACTTTGAAACCATGTCAAAAACGTACTCATAAGATTATATAATAACCAAAATATAAAAATTCATGTATCAAAATAAAAGTGTAGAAAACAATGCTAATTAACGGTACCAAACACTGTCCCATAGCGACGAAGTTACACCAAACCCCTTGTCCTAAATCCTGAAGTGATGGTCAAATGGGATTTCTGCAGATATTAAAAAAAAAGCCAATCATATATAAACTCTCGACGGATGTGTAAGGTCTTGTATGTATACAAAAGAAAAAAAGACTTTGGTCTTGTTTAACCTCGAGGTTTTTGGTCACTGCTGTAGTTGGGTTAGCATGGTGAAGGTAGTAGTCGGTAAGATCGTACATCACATACCAAAGCAGGCCGCCTCCAAACAATGCAGGTGCAGCTGAAGGAGTTGCCAGAAGCTTCGCAAGGTTCCAGAGCTGGAATGGAATGTGCCGTGTTTCCCCTAGAATGGTTCCACAATAACATTAGCACCTAGTTGAAGAGGATTAATTCATAGATAGTGAGTACATGTGTGTGTAACGAACCAGTAACTTTTGGCCTTCATGTGGAAAACGAAACGGTGAAGACAATATTCTATAAAAGTCCAGATAAATGCTCCCAAAGCTACCCCGGTATAAACTTAATATGATAGCAAAGTACAATTACCATTCAAATAACAGCAATTTACCAAAACTTGAGCCACCGCATCTGTAGTTGTTAGTCCTAACTCGCCTCCCATCTCGATCTGTAATCACATGGCTATTATCCGTATAACACATGTTCTTCTTAGATTTCATCGGAAGACACCAACAGCATTTGGATTGTTGCACGTAAAGGCTGAGACAGTGGGTTGAAGCTAGAACCATAACACCATCCTTTGTCCATCTTGATGCCAGTGCAGATAAAGTCAAATTCCTGCATATTTGGAATATTAGAATCACATACAAAGCTCTAAACATGTGATTTTATAACATGTTAAAGTGAATCACATACAGAGCTCTAAACATATAACTTTATAATCTGTTAAAGCTTGTTGGTCTATCTGTTAAAATATGAACATACGCTTCAAGATGGCTGTAAACATGAGTTAACTCACAAAATCACAAACCGCTTTTAAATAGCTCTCACATAAATAGCTTAATTAAAAACAAACGTAATGAAAAACAAACGTAATGGTTAGTAAAGCAGAGCATACAATGTAAGTTGAAGCGGAAATCACAAACAAAACTCAGCTAATAACTCAGCATCTTCATTACCACCAATCCACGATTGAACTTTAACCTAAGGAAAGAAGAAAGTGAGATATCATAAAAACACGTTTAAATTGGGAGTAAGAAGAGTACCAAATGAAGTCGTTTTCGCAGCCAGGCTTCTTCACACGCAGAATCTTTTGAGACACCAAAACTCTTAAAATTTGAGATTTTGTTAGAGATACCCCTAATAAAAATTTGGATCATTATCCAATTCATATTTGATTGGGCAAAAAAAAAACAGAAGCACGATAAGCATCAGATAGCTTTAAAGAAAAAGACTAGGCAAGAAATCTAGTACCTTCGAACGAAAACAATAATCCTTTGGCTGTTGATTCTTGGCGTTACAGTTTTGCATGTAAGAATGGCTTTCTTCTCCTCATCACCCAATCAGTTTCCAAGTCCAGGAGGAGGAAAGGCGTGTATCAATCAAATGAGAAATTATTAAATAGTAAATATTATAACAATCAAATGAGAAAATATCATGGATATAATGTAACTTACGGCTCCTCTTTTGATTTAGATATTTATTTTTTATGCTCTTTACGTTCTCATGATCAACACCACTCCAATCTGCAACAGAAAAGGATGTTTAATCATATCAAAACAAATAAGATTCAAAAAAATTAATTAAACTAAAAGCTTACCTAGATTTTTTTAATCAAAGAAAAAGATTCAATGCAAAAGTTGTAAGAAGATGAAGACATGTTCATCGCTCTGCTTCGTTGTTTCTCCGCTGGCGCCAATTCAGTTGTCGGGAACTCAACTGCCGATCTAATCAGAGATCCGCAACTCTGCTTGAAATCAAATCCTTTCACTTTATAATCCTCGCATGAACACGACTGATCCTAATTTTACTCTTAACTCCTTGAAATCAAAATCAGGAGTAGGCGTAATGAAGACTCTAACTCCTTTACCTGCCATTCTCAAGATCCCAACAGTGTTCTTCGGATTCGACTGCAATGGCAAAGCACAAAAGATCCCCTAAATCACAGACAAAAAGAACAATTCAAAAGTTCTAATGGGATAGATCGTACCTGGGTTTTGGCACCGCATAGAAGATTGGTAGCTTCGGTTTGAGCCTATAATCTCTATTTCTCATCCACTTGAAGTTGTCGATGTATATCATAGTCGACTATAATCTCCATTTTTCATCAACAAAGGGTTCATGATACAATTTGTGGAAACAAAAAAAGGGTTTGTAACGAAATGAGAGGGGTTTGTCGGCGATGAAAGGAGACGACATTTTCAATGATTTGGGCTTACTGGGCTATAGTGAAATTCATAGTAGATATAAACATAAAGGATTTTTAACACTAAAACTCCTCAACTAAGTTTGTTTTGGGTAAAAACCCCTAAACTAAGTATTTAACAAAAAAACCCCCAAACTAACTTTATTTAGTGAATAAACCATCATCGGTCATAATTACCAGTACTACCGCTAAATTTTTAGTTTAGAGATTTTATCATTAAAAACAAAATAAAAAATAATAATAACGTTATCTAAAAATTTGTAATTTGAATTTTCAAAACTATCATTTTTAAAAAATTGTAAATATATGACTCTGATTTGTTATCCTTTTAAAATCAACATCATATATGTATAAATTTAAAATATAAAAACCCAGAAAATATAAAAAAAATTATATAAATATCTACCTGTAATAAAAATTGTCAAAAAGTTATAAATATAAAAAACAAGAAAACAAAATAAAAATTATATCTTTTCTAATAAAAATGTAATAATAAATATGTAGATGATTTTTATTATATTTTGTTGTTTTACAATTTTAATTTATATGCATATATATAATGTTGATATTAAAATAAATCAAACTCATATATTTACTGAAAGTTTTTAAAATGCTAATTTTAAAAATTTAAGTTACTAATTTTAGATAATGTTCTAATTTTACTTTGTTATTTTTAATGATAAAACCCTTCAATTATGTTTACTTAATATGGAGGTTTACTTGTTAGTTTGCAGATTTTTACCCAAAACAAACTTAGTTGAGGTATTTTAGAGTTAAAATCCATTTTAAAAAGATAAGAAATCACTCATATATTTACAAAAAAAAATTTAAAATGCTAATTTTGAAAATTAAAATTACACATTTTTAGATAAGGTTATTATATTTTTAGTTTTTTTATTTTTTATGTTTAATTCTAAAACCCCTAAACTAAAGATTTACCAGTAGTACCGGTAATTATGACCGGCAAATGTTTAATTTATTAAGTAAAGTTAGTTGGGGGTTTTTTCCATTAAATACTTAGTTTAGGGGTTTTTACCCAAAACAAACTTAGTTGAGGGGTTTTTATGTTAAAAGTCCAAACATAAAAGTACACATTTAAAATCTATAGATCTAAGACTTACATTTTAGAGTGAAACGTGATAACCATGAATTAACCTACAAACACAAGATAATATTGTGAAAAAGACATGATAGAAAAATTAACAAACTAAACAAAAATTCATCTTCACCTTCAAAGAATTGAGCAATGAGAGAGTTTTAGAGAGAAGAGAGATAGTTTTAGAGAGAAGTGAGAGTTTTTTAGAAACTTGTGCAGCCATTTTAGAGAGAGATTGTCTAAATTTCATTTATATAGGGAGACAAAAATTGTAACTAGGTTAAAAATTTTGATAGTGTAGACTTCTTTTGAAGTCTACTATAATTAAAATTTTGGAGTAGACTTTATTGCAAGTCTACTTAGTAGATTTTTTTTTTTGAAATCTACTACGACTATTTCATTATTGTTACCTAATCAATATATATTCGTTAAAATTGTTTAATTATATGAAATTTTAATTTATATACCTCATATTGATTCTTATATTGATTACCTAAAAGAAATCTCACACAATTTATTTTTATATATTTTAAAAATAAAATTATAAGATTAACTTAGAAGGTAGACTTCGTAATAAGTCTATAATATTGACTTCATGATAAGTCTACACCTTGTATACTTCTCTCTATTAAATGTAGACTTCATAAAGATAAAATTGTAAAATAGCATTCTGTTTTTTTGTTTAGTAATAAGGAGTAAATTGACATTTTCCTACCCTTTTTAGGTTGGTTTTGCATCTGATTGAAATTGGGATACACTTTTACATTTGATTTGAAAATTTAGGTTGTTTTAAGTAAATATCCCTTTAAACAATGACACATCAAAATAAACTTCATATACTTCTTCCCATTCCTGGAAATTGTATGAAGCAATTTCTGTGCGGACAAAAGTTATTTAGAAAAACATTCACCCAAAAATTTAACATGGACACTAACAAAATGTTATGAATTTTTTTAATAAAATGAAACTAAACAGCCTTTTACGAAAAAATTTCACAGAACTAATTTCAGAAAGTTTACGGAGCATCCGTAAAATGAAAATAAACAGTGTTTTATGAAATAAACATTTGCAATGCTAATTCCTATAAGTTTTTCAGAACATCTTTTGTAAAACAATCTAAACAGTGTTTTACAAAATAAACTCTCACAAAATAATTTCGACAAGTTTTACAAAACATCTTTCGTAACAAGCTAGTGAGTTACTCTCTTGCCCTTTTCTCTCTCCTCCTCCCCCCTTTATATCTCCTTCTCCTGGCCCTTTTTTCTCTCTCCTCCTCCTCTTCCTCTCTCTCTCTCTCTCTCTCTCTCTCTCTCTCTCTCTCTCTCTCTCTCTCTCTCTCTCTCTCTCTCTCTCTCTC